AAAAAAAAGTGTAGAGGTGGCACTGAGGGCCATGGTTTAGTGGTGGTTTTGGCAGTGTTAGGGTTATGGTTGGACTTGATGGTCTTAAAAAGTCTTTTCCAAACTAAATGATTCTATGATTCCATATAAAAGACTGAGGTGCTTTTCCCCCAAGCCTTATACTTGTTGTGTAGTAAATTGAACAACTGAAAAAGAGTTTTGAAAAAGGGGCACTTCCCTCTCGGAAATGCAGCACCTCCCATGCACCAAACAGGCGTTACAAGCAATTCTCCCCACAGCACAGGCAAGAAGCAGAGATGGGACCCTTCTTCCAGTCACACAAAAAAATACATGTATAGATTTTAAGTACTGCTGATTTCACTGCCTGCTGACCCTAAACTGCACTCAAGGTAAAATGAAGTTGGGGGTTTAGTCTGCTGGGGGGAGTAGGGGAAAGGAAAGCCAAAAGGGGCTGTAAGTATCATTCATGTCATTTTGTAAAAGTTACTCAAATTATGTTATATACTTCTATCTAGGCACATAGTATTATATGCCATATTTTAGGGCTTAAACATACAGGTCAACCAACCAAATCCACTACTAATACATGGGAAGAGTTACAACTGGGCAAAGCAGTGCTAAATAAGTTAAATTTCCAGGTGTTGCTTAATAAGCAACAGCACAATGATTACTCATCTCAGACTATGAATACACTAAGTACATTTAAAGTGATGACTTGGATCAAAGCACAACTTAAAAAATACTACCAAAAACCACATGGATATAAACAGAATATTGACCCAGATTACACTTAAATCTTAACTCTGTTTTTTCAGATGAAGAAGCAAAATAGAAAAAAAAACAAACTTGCATGTCATTAAGTTACACAGTACATGCAACTGATGGATCCTTCACCCTTTCTCATTCCAAATGCTCCAGGAATGCTGGAAGACAGGTGAAAACATTTGGTATAATTTGCAGGAATCAGGATAAATTACACAGTAGACACAGCTGGATCTTTGGGAGCTTTTTCTAAAGAAATGGTAAAAAAAGAATTGGGAAGACACATCTTCCACACTCTGTATACAAACTAATGTTAATGTAACACACTAATACTGTGCTACTGAATATACACATAGGGTATCCTCTTCAGACTGGCTGCCTTTCATTATAATTACCATCTTAAATTGTAATAGATTCTTGATTAAGTAAATTTTTCACTAGAATGCTTCATTTTCACCTCTGAACATGAACATTGCTCTCATGTTTTTATAAAGTGTTCATTTTCACAAAACTACACTGATTTTGCAAAGTTATTTCCATGAGCACCTATGCAAACTATCTACAAGTAAAACCGAGTTAATAAGCAGAAAAATAAATTTAGTCTCCTAGAATCAACATGGATAAATCTGAAACTTAATTCAGCTAAGACACAAGCAATTCATAATTCTCACTAGATGCAGCCAAACCACACACATTAGGCTCCTTTAGCAAAGAGTGAAGTATGATGTACTTGCAGAAGAAACAAAGCGATCAGACACTACATTTACAGGCGCAATTACCAAGGCAACCAATTTGCAAAGAAGTAAAATGATAGTTACGTAACTAAAAGAGATCTCTTTGCTTTAAATACCACGTGCAAGATACTTTAAAGTATCTCATTGAAAACTATTGTAAAACACACCACGGTGATAAAAACACCTCAAAAGTTAGCACGACTGAGCATACCCAATACAGAGTTCTACAGAGAATTAGCACCAGGAAAATACCCTCTCTTTAGTACTCCTGCACGGAGGCATTCAAGCGACTTCTGTGAGGCAGACGAGGGAACTGATCCAGCCTGAACTGAAAGAAAAGCTTTAACCTTCATCAGCTCACCAAACTAACCAGCCACATGAATGGGAGAACAGGCAGCTGAGAAACAGCAATGCTAACCAAAAGTATTCCCAAGGGGAGAGTGAGCAAGCCAGCTACTTCAAAAGAGAGGCATTTTGAAATTTGCCTTTCACCAGAACCTGGACAATGTGTAAGCAAGAACAAACTGAACTACCCAACTCCCTTCTATGCTATAGAGTCATTTAAGCCATATACTGCAGGAAAGGTTAGATGGAAATGTACACAAAGCAGCTCAACTGTACCATTTTGAACAGGAAACTAAAACTAGTAACAAGCACTTGGTCATTTCCTGCTTTAGAACCGAAAAATCCACATTATTAACATATTGCATCAAGCTGTAAATTCTGCTCAGGAGACATACAATACTGACGCCAACTCACAGACACCATGCACAAAACCACTTAGCTTAAGCATTATCTGTTCCCAACCACACTTCAAATTTCTTTCACTATGCTATTAGAATCAGCCTACTAACTGAGAAAACAAGTTTAATTTGTTTCTAAAATCTAGGTTGCAGCTAAACATACCCTCATACACGAGCTGATTTTGGGTCAGGCTGCCTCAAGGTCTGATTAGAAGTAATGGGAATGCATTCCTATTGCGCTCAGTTTTTCTGAGCGCAAAATGTTACTCTTACAGAGAACACTTTAACCACCCCCTGCACAATGCTATTTTACTTTGTAGCTCCACCCGTGCTGGAGCAATCAGCAGCCTACAGCCCTTCCTTCCTACCCTTGTCTCTTCCCAGACTTTTCCTCTCCGGGTCAGGAAACAAGCTGGTGGTGGATTCTTTCCCCTTCCTGGCACAGCCTTGCTGTTTCAGATGTTCCTAAAAAACAACATGCACTGCAAAAGCCAAGAAAACCTTATGCTAGCCTGGGTCTTCTCTTACTTTTCAAAAATAAGCTCAGAATTCTATTCCAGAGCTTAAGAGAATTTTTGTCCTTCAGCACCATGTTCAGGGCAAAAATGCTCCATCTCCTACAGCATGTGTGAGAAGTTTTATTTTTTCTTCCAAAAAACCTTAAGAGCCACACGCAAAGCTACAGAGCATTAGAAGAGAAAATCAAGATGACAGCAGCTAAAAGCTATTTTACCCTCTCGCCTCTCAATTCATCTGAGACAGTGAGCTCACATGCAACCTAAAAGGCCTTGGCAGAACACACATGCAATCCTTCACTTCACTGAAATAGCTACGTCCTGGCTGAGGTGCAATTCTTGGACTACCCCAAAAAATCCTTCAACTAGAGACAAAGCAGCAAGCACCAGAGACAAGTGATTGAGGCACCTCCTTTTATTCCCTGGGCCTTCCCAAGTGCAGGCTGGAAGGCAAAGGGCAGTCTCGTACCTCAAGACAGGGTACCCCTGTACTCCCCTCGGGGTCAGTTGTCCTCCTCCTTCCTCCTCTGGGGCTTTCACAGGACTCACTCAATTGCAAAATGACTCAGAACAGAAAGGTGCTCTTCACCTTGCATTACTGCAGTCTTTTAATTTCATTATGACAAATGAAGCTATTTGGGGGGGTGCGGGGGGGAGAAGCTTTAAGACTCAAAAGGAGGTCCAGTCTTGCTGTAATAGGGTAATTTCATCTAAACTTCTGAGTGCTCCCTGCAGGGCTGTCTTAATGGTTGCAATACTGCCTCATCACTACTCATTAAAACAAACGTACTTTGAGAAGTTAAGTCTTATTAGTGTGCTTAAAAACCAAGACGAAAATAAAGTAATCCCGCATGAAAATCATGCCTGGGAAGACAGAGCCTTCCTATGACCTCCATTTCCTATCCTAAAAGGGAAAGCCAAGCACAATGAATAGAGAGACGATTTTGCAGGCCAGTCTTACATAACTAACTAAAAGTCAGCAGAACTGAACCTTCTATTGCCAAGTTACCCATCTGGGGAAAAAAGGCAAACCACCTTCCACAGAATGAAGACTTACAGATTTCTAAAGGCTGATTAAACTGTGAGCTTGCCATTATTAAAATAGTCATATTTGTCCTCTTTGAGTTCAGCATTTTGCTCCACTCCAATTTATGTGAACTGCATTTGAAACATGACACGAACTGAAGAAAAGTAACCACGCACTAAAAAGCTTAAATCTGTAAACTACTCACTAGTCACCACATGCTTTAACTTTAAAGCTCATACAGTCACTGATATCATCTTTAGCACTACAACAGGGAAGTCAACATGCATCTTTAGTAAGCATGACAGAGGAAAAAAATGCAACTCTTTATTTACATGCAAACTACTTGGCTTGTGAATAAACTGTCATGAGTTGAGACACAGGCGAGCTAACACCACACCTCCAGTAACAGCTTAAATGGGCAAAACGCTGCCTGCCCACCTATCTAAATATCATTCCTCATACTGATTATATAGTGGCCACCCTCACTAACACAAATCAAGCTCCCACAAGCACCTGTCCTGCAAGCCAAGAAAACTAACTCCTTAAACGCTCCTTTTTTGAATCATGGTTACATTTCCCTTCTGGTTCTGTAGTCCTTCAGTTATTTTGTTCTACACAGGATGGATCTGTCCAATTAAAGAGATTGTTAGACTAGTCATCCCAGCCAGGCGGATGTCATAGGCTCCTGAATCATTGTGTCAGCTAAATGATTCATGCATTGCCTATAGGAGTGTTTACCCTCCCACTCAACATTGACGCAGCTTGTTCTACAACTAAAGGTGCCGCACTCTTATCAGAAGAGCTGTAGTTATACATAATTTACTAGGTCAGCCTGATAATAATTTCTCAGCAGAAGCCTCAGACCATCCATTGAGCAAGCTACCAAGACTACTAGTACCTGTTCAGAAAATCAGTTCCTCCAGCCAACAGATCAGCTGAAACACACAAGCTGTATTTCAAATTCTCCTCAGTTTTTCTGCATCTCTTCTTTAAAAACGACTCTTTAACGAAAAGAAAAATCCTTGGATCTTCATCATTAGTTTAAAAAGAATACAGTCAAAAAAGAAATTTGAAAAAAAAAGAAATTTGAAAAAGTGAAATCTAATGACTCTGTAGCAAAAAAAAAGACAAACAAAATTCATTCCTGTGAAAAAGCAGAGGCAAATTCTTGATAGTCTTCCCAGTAAAGAAAAATATTCCAGTTTTTCAAAGGTTGTTTACCCATCAAAAATAGTAAAACTCCACTTCATGAGACACTTGAAAGAAAGCAGAGGTCTAGAACTACTCCAATATATTCATGAACAAGAGTCTGTCAATTTCCACATATCCCACACACTATCTGCTGAAGAGCATCCACCCAGTTCAAAGTGATTTCTCTGAAAACCAGAACAGCTTGATGAATACTACTTCTCATTGCACCACACTCCACTACAGCTACGTGGGAGTTGTACTATATAGAAGAAAAATAACTACAGAGCTGGTGGCCTTTGAGCACATACTTTTTGACACATGAGGCCATGATGGGAATCCTCAATTGCTAGAGGAAAAAAATCATCACTAAAGGACATTTGCACTATGGCAATGTTGTGGTCAATTAACCATTACTGGAAAAAGCTTCTACACAAGCCACACACATCTTTTCTGTCCTGATATCCACACAAGGATAAACTCTCCTGTAGCTTAATGCTATAGTATCATATTAAAACATTGCACTAGTAAACAAGAGGTAGTGACAGTAGCAAAAACAGTTCTGTAGTTTTCAACAGCAATACTCAGACATTACAGTCTTGGTATTACTTGGCCTTCTAACATTTTTGTTAGACTGAAAACAGCAGAAGATTGATGAATAAGAAGCTCACAAGACTCCCAGCTCTTCTCTTCGAGCAGCAATTTCCTACCCTTGCTTTTGAAAGAAAATTGGGCCAGATGACCGCCAGAAGTTCCATTAAACCTAGACTTTTCTATGATTCTAAATGAATTCAGAATTTTGTCTATCATACATGCAACTTTCAAAAAAAGATTATTTTCTACCTTAAATACCACCAAAGCAGCCAAGATGTGCAGGAACACCAACCTAGTTTATCAGAAGTTTATGTGGGTTAATCAAGCAGAATATCAAGTCATTATTGACAAGTATGAACAAGATTCTGAAGCCTGCCATTTATGTTCAGATGATAATACCCTTTCTTTAGTGAAGTTAAATACAGATTTGGGTAACAATTCCATATACCTTCAATTTTAGGTAGTAAAAAGTTGACATGGTTTAAGGAATCACAGTAAACAAACAGAATTAATATAGTCTTCTCTGGCAAGACTACTGATCTCAGATAAGTCAGGATCAGGAGAGTCAATTTTCACTCTTAACTTCAACAAGTTGCTTCAGCCACATACCATACTTTCATTCTTACTATCTGATCCTTCCAACTTTGAAAAAAAATCTAAACATCTTTGGAAGCAGCTATCCATACTAAGAAGTCTTTCAACTCTGAATCAGAACACTAACCCAAGCTGCTAGCACCAGGCAAGTCACTGTATCTACACTTCTCCAGGACTACCCATGTCTTTCCATGACTTCAGTTTCCGTGACTTCAGGTGCGAACCCCTAACATTTGACCTGCAAGTTCTGAAAAGAACCAAGTTTATCTGAACTGCACCCTTACCTTCACCTCCCCCTCACAGACATGTTAACTATTTCTAATGCAACGCTATGCACTAACCCTCCTTTCCAAGGTAGTTACATGCTTCATTGATCTTGACCAGGGACGCAACTTAACATACCACTTAAGTGCACCTAAGAAAGGTAGCTTTAACCTTTGCCCAAACACAACCAGCATTTAATGGCCTCCATCATTCAAAAGACAAAGGCCTTGCCAGGAACAGCAGACCCTATACTGTTTTCTTTTGAAAATGCTTTAAGCAGATCTTTCCTTTCTCCATTAAAAAAAAAAAAAAAAAACAACAATAAAACCAGTTTTATCTTTACTCACAAGGTAAGACAACGTAGGAGGAAGGGACAAGGAAAGGAAAGGTTGTGAGGAATCATTATCCACATCATTTTCAACAATGACTACTTTCTCACATGGGATAGGCTTCTTCAATTCCAAAACACCCAGACACACCACACATCAGTCTTCTGCTTTCAGGTAATTATTTCAGCCTGTTCTCTTGAAGAAACATGCAGGAAGGTAATAAAACTGAGGCATGCCTAAGCTATTTCAGTCTCTGCATTTTGTACTCACCCAGAAGACAATGTTGTAGCTGAAGAGCAGGTATTTGTACCAACAGCTGACTTCTGCATTAGAATATCGGTAATAGTGCATCTTCTATAGCACGACGTCTGCACAGAAGAGAAATGATAAGAATTAGGCAGTGAAAGATTTTAAGAATAAAGGAGGTTTTTTTCCCCTATCTCTCTTGCTCTGTTGAGAAAGGGACTGCAGCAACCTGTACCGTATGCCGTTCAGAGGTATGTTCAAAGTCAGCTCAGAAACTTCTGCTGACCCTAAACTCCGTCCAAGTATTTGTTGCTTAATAATCCTATCTTCTTTAAGCACCCTTATGTGGCAACAGGGAGTAACACCCAAAAAGGAAACTAGCTACACAGTTAGCCTAGGAAGATCTGCATCAGCAAGTTGACATTCATCCGCTTTCTCACTCCTTCAAAATCATTTTACTTACACAGACAGCTGCTTGGACTTATGCAGAAGTCTAAACATACACCCTGTGGATTTCACATTCAACAACCTACCTAGCAAGGTGTTAGAAGTGGTTACCTGGAAAACCTCAGTGACTACAGATTGCTAAATACAGTAGGCAGTTGTACTCTGTCTTTTCCATACTTTAATGTTTCTTTACCAAATCAGTACCCCATAAGAGGTTTTGTTTTCAAGAAAAAAGCCTCACCATTAAACAGCCGATCTACTCTGCAAAGTTTGGTTTTCTGGCTTCCTTACATACACTAGAGATAAGGTTCAACTGAAACTGTTGCTCAAGTACTTCAGAGAACTCCAGCTTTTCAGAGTATCATAACTAAACCACCTCTGCAGAAATGCCATGCATAGGAAAAGAACAGAGGACAAGCTGTTAAATCAAGAGCTGGAGCAGGGAAGACAAAGCGCTCCCACAGCCCTTGCGTTCTAGAGAGCTGACCACACAAGTGCTGCCTGTGTAAGACATGAAGCAGTTCCACATTTCAACCTCCCCAGTTGCTTGAGGTAAATGTCTTCCTCCCATAAGACGTCAGTGAAAGGCTTGCAACAGAGAAGCAAGCATAAAGAATTTTCAAACACCTCATAACTAAGAAAAAGACTTCAAGGACTATGCTGACCTGGACATTCACAGACAGCGTGCAAAAACCAAGCCTACCCTAAGTCTGAAACCAAGCACCATGGAACAGAGAACTGAAGATCTCCACGACATCCACAGCTACAAGAGGGAAACTAATTTATTTTCTTTTTAGAAGGCAATCTGCACCTGCGTGTAAGGAAACAAACACACTGAAAGAAGCAACAGAACCAAATAACTGTCAGCTTTGAGACTCCCATTTAATACAATAAACAGCTTACTTTAGCTTTCTAATCAAATGCCAATTATTTTCCAGGACAACTATGGAGTACAGCCATCAGCACCTTATTGGAGGAGCTTATTTTTTGAAATCTCATCACAGATGTTTCAAACCTTGCCTTAAACTTTTTTCTCCCGAGGCTAAAATCACACACACCAACAGATCAAGGACGGACACACAACAGACATCTCCAGCCCAAAAGACTATGGACAGAGATCTCAAACAGACTTTGATTTTCCTTCCAGAGGTCTCCCCATGCCAGGCTTGGCTTCCATCTGGAAGCAGATTCAGAGTCCCTCCTTGGTCCAGACACATGCCCTGTCCCTCTTCAACCCCAACCAGGAAGTCTCTTTGCTGCCCAACCAAATGGAAAAAGTTTTCAGAAATGCAGAGACCATGTAGAAAATCTAAGGAGGGCACATTTTGGTAGAATATTCCATAGCTTTAAGTAGTTATGGAAAAAACTATTGGAAACTCATGTGACTTGGCATAATGAAGTAAGCCACACAAGGCAAAGGCAGGGGACTAGGAGAATGAAGAACTGCCCACTGCAGGAAATGATCAGGTTTGAGACTATCCAAGGAACCTGAAGGTGCACAAGTCCATGGGACCTGATGAGATGCATCCGCAGGTCCTGAGGGAACTGGTGGTTGAAGTTATTAAGCCACTATCCATCATATTTGAGAAGTCGTGGCAGTGCGGTGAAGTTCCCAGTGACTGGAAAAGGGGAAACATAACCCCCATTTTTAAAAAGGAAAAAAAGGAAGACGTGCGGAACTACACACCAGTCAGTCTCACCTCTGTGCCCAGCAAGATCATGGAGCAGATCCTCCTAGAAAATCTGCTAAGGCACAGGGAAAATAAGTAGGTGATCAGTGACAGCTAACATGGCTTCACTAAAGGCCAATTGTGTCTGACAAATTTGGTGGCCTTCTACAACAGGGTTACAGCACTTGTGGATAAAGGAAGAACAACTGACATCATCTACCCGGACTCGTGCAAAGCGTTTGACACTGTCCTGTATGACATCCTTGTCTCTAAATTGGAGAGACATGGATTTGATGGATAGACCACTCAGTGGATAAGAAATTGGCTGGATGGCCATGTTTAAAGAGTTATGGTCAACTGCTTGATATCCAAATGGAGACCAGCAATAAGTGGAGTTCCTCAGGGGTCGGTACTCAGACTGGTGCTGTTTAACATCTTTGTTGGCGACATGGGCAACGGGATTGAGCGTTCCCTCAGCAAGTTTGCCGATGACACCAAGCTGTGTAGAGCAGTTGAAACACTGGAGGGGAAGGATGCCATCCAGAGGGACCTGGACAGGCTGGAGAAGTGGGCCTGTGCAGACCTCATGAAGTTCAACAAGGCCAAGTGCAAGGTCCTGCACGTGGGTCAGGGCAATCCCAAGCACGAATACAGGCTGGGCGGAGAACAGATTGAGAGCAGCCCTGAGGAGGAGGACTTGGGGGTGTTGGTTGATGAGAAGCTCAACATGAGCTGGCGATGTGCACTTGCAGCCCAGAAAGCCAACCGTATCCTGGGCTGCATCAAAAAAAGCGTGGCCAGCAGGGCAAGGGAGGCAATTCTGCCCCTCTACTCCACTCTGGTGAGAGCCCACCTGGGGTACTGTGTCCAACTTCGGAGTCCTCAGCAAAAGAATGACATGGACCTGTTGGAGCAGGTCCAGAGGAGGGGCACGAAGATGATCAGAGGTCTGGAGCACCTCTCCTATGAGGACAGGCTGAGAGAGTTGGGGTTGTTCAGCCAAGAGAAGAGAAGGTTTTGGGGGTAGATTTAGATTAGATATTGGGAAGAAATTCTTTACTGTAAGGGAGACGAGGAACTGGAACAGGCTGACCAGAGAAGTTGTGGATGCCCCATCCCTGCAAGTGTTCAAGGCCAGGTTGGATGGGGCTTTGACTAAGCTGGTCTAGTGGGAGGTGTCCCCGTCCATGTCAGGGGGTTGGAACTAGATGATCTTTAAGGTCCCTTCCAACCCAAACCATTCTATGATTCTGCAAGACTTCTGGACAGAGAATAATTTCTGCTTTTTTCAAGCTATGATGGCCTGCATGTGCATAAGAGCAATTTTCAGATCCTATTGAAAGTTGGTAGATATTACATAAGTCATACTGATCCACTTGACATAAAGTAGATTAATTTGTATGTAATAAAGCCTGACATCACCCAAGTAGCCTTCATGCATATGCTACATATGCAGGTTGCTTAAAATACATTACCTACAGGTGACTCTAGATTCATGCATCTAGACAGACACAGCAGCAACAGAAAAATCAAAAAAAGGAGGAGTCAGTCCTCCTGATTCCATACAAGATGGAGTTAACTGAGTTAAGTGAGAACTAAAACATTTTTTCCTCAATATTCCCAGTAAAGGGACCGAATACACAGAATGAAATACTTGGCTGGTTTTCAGAGGAATGGCAGAGTCTGAAGAATGATTAAATGATACACTGCACATTCTTACAGAAACAATACCTGCAAAAATTGTCAGGCTAGGGAGTGTGAACATTCATCATTAACACCTGAGCTTGATATTTCCACAGTTCAGATGCTGATTTCCATACCGTTTCAACAAAATACTGAAAACAAGTTTTTTTGCCTTTCAAAACCTCACCTTATAACTAGGTTCTAATGCTCACCATTCATTTATAGCAAAAACACTTAATTTTTGTTAAAACAAAGAAAATTGTACTTTATGGTAGTACAGACAGTGACTGGAAAGGACGGTCCTAGATGTGACTCAGTCATATACATAAGCTGAGTTTTGCAATATCCACTCCTAAGATGTAGACAGTTTTGTTTCCTCATGCTCTGGTTCAGCTTTAGTTACTGACCTTTTCAATCCGTCCAGCTTCATGGGCAACATTTAGGAATCTCACTGTTATGAGACATAGCAAAGAAAACCTGTTTAAACATCACTCTCCTGACGTGCTTTTCTAAACCTGCAGCTGAGAGAATACAAGAGAAGGAATGCACGTTTGGTGTCGTCCCGTCCCCCCAACCCCCATCTTCTTCACTGCAGCCTCTAGCTCCGAACGGCAACTTATATTTCAACAATCAATAGTCATACACTTGTCCAAATCATTAAGTCTGATGGGTCTGGGGAAGAGAGGGAAAAGAGGGGGTACTAGGAGACAACAGCAGAACCCCACTAATCTGAGCAAAGTCCAAGACTCCATTTGCATCAGTGTATGCCTGTATTACAACAATACACTGCCAGTGCAAACATTCTCTAGATGCAGGCACACTGAGGCCTCCATCACTGTTCTGCCTCCCTCCCCGTGAAAATCAGGATCCTGGCAAAAGACACGAGTGGCAACTGATGCACATACTAGTAATAAGAAATATTGCTTTTGCTGCTGCTACCACCACAAAAAAGGAGGCAGCAGGTGATATTTAGCTAGCACATCATTAAATTCCATAAAAATGGGGTTCTACTAGACAAAAAGGCTTAAAATATAATCTGAAGCAGAAAGGCAAGCATAACATTTCAGGACGCAAAACACAAACATAATCTGAAGTCTTAGTTTTTGTTAGGTTGCCCTCCCTGGGATTGGGACTTACATCCCACTGTTCAAGTCCCAACTTCAGTGAAACTATTCACAGGAATAAGAGCATCAAAAGTACGCTGACTCATAAGTCCCATTCCCCACCTACTTGTTTTGACCACCAGTTTGTAAGACATTTCTCCCCACTTACTCGTACAACTGGCACAATGCCCCAATCAATACC